GTCTCCGGAAGGAGACGAATCGACAACCGACAACAGCAGCTCATCAGATGACGAAAGAGTTATTCTACATAGCGACGACTTAAAGTCTAAGAAATTACGAACCAGGATTATATTGAAGACAGCCGAAGTCTCAGTATACAATCACGTTACCAAAACATTCAACAAATTGAATGTCATCATAGACGAAGGATCAACACGATCTATGATCACTGAGGAAGCAGCACAAAAACTGAACCTACCAATACGGAAAACAGCAACACGCACGTTCTATGGAATAGGAGGACTGGAGGAAACTCACGCATCACACGAAGTAACGCTAAAAATGAAGACACAGGAGGGAAAAACGAAACTAATCGTGTCTACAAAGCCAAGGATTACAGTAGCAGTGCGAGCACCTATACTATCAAAAGACGATAATACATACCTCGCAACAAACAAACTGTCACCAGCCACGCGACATACAAACGGAGAACGGATCACGCCAGAAATACTAATTGGACTGGACTGCTACTCTGCTATAACGGACCATTCGAGTACCGAAGAAAAACTACCCTCCGGATTAATAGCCAGACGAACGAAGATTGGAACTATAATATATGGAGCAACTACGACAAAACCAAGGAAAAAGGAAGACATAGCACTCTTCACAACGAACACGACAGAAGAACGCGAACTTTCACTACAAGAAATAGCACAGGAACTATTTCAAATCGACAGCACGGGTCTCAACCCGGACGAGGAGAAGGATATTCAAATAACGGAAGCATACTACAACGAATATGCTAAAACTATCAAATATGGAAACGGAAGGATAACAGCACCATTCCCAATCAAGGGAAACATCAGCCAACTAAAGGACAACAAAGGAATATCCATTAGAAGACTTCACTGCCTCAAGACGCAGCTACAAAGGAACCCGGAACAACGAAAATGGTATACCCAGATCATGCAAGACTACATCAGAGAAGGAGTAGTCGAGAAGGTACCACGTTACGAATCCGACGGACCCAAATACTATATACCTCATCACGGAGTATGGAAACCCGAAAAAGAAAAACCACTAAGAATAGTATTTGATGCATCATCAAAAGCAAAGGGAGCACCATCACTCAACGACGTCATCAACACTGGATCAATATTCATCAACAAGATACATGATATTATAGTGGCCAACCGATTCCACAAAATAATAATCATGTGTGACATCGAAGCAGCATTTACACAAATCCTGCTCACTCCACACGACAAGGATCTCTGCCGATTCTTCTGGATAGACAACACACCAGGAAAGGAGGACCAGATAGCAGCATACAGATTCTGCCGACTGCCATTTGGAATCACCAGCTCACCAAGCATACTGAACATGTGTTTGACACACTTTCTAAAAAAGGAACAAACGGAGCTGGCAAACGAAATAATGGACTTACTCTACGTGGACAACATCACAATGGGAGCCACAAACAAGAAGACAGCCATAGAGAAAATTAAAGATTCCAAGGAGTTATTCAAGAAAATATCTATGAATATAAGGGAATATATCTCTAACGACAGCACAGTCAACGACAGCATACCGGACGAGGACCGACTTAACGAACACAAAGTCAAAATGCTGGGATTACCATTCAACATTTGTCGGGACGAGTTAACTACGAAAGTCAAACTGGAGCAATGTGAGAAACTGACTAAACGGATCATGCTCAGCCAACTACACAAATCATACGATCCCATCGGTATAATTACCCCTTTACTGTTGCAAATCAAACTACTCCTACGAGAAGTATTCAACACAAAAAAGGGATGGGACGAGGCACTCGATACAAGCACAAGGAAGGATTGGAACGCACTAGTGGACAAAGCAACACCAGCACATATATCAATAGCACGATATATAAGATGCACACCGGATTCAACACTCTGGATATTCGCGGACGCCAGCAAAGAAGCAACAGCCGTTTGCGCATACATACAAACCGGAGAAGAGATGAGTGACATACTCACAGGGAAAGTGAAATTAGCCCCTAAACGGGCTCTCACCATCCCCAAATTAGAACTAATTGCTTTACGTATGGCATTTACCTTGGCAAAATCACTCGTAGTGAAAAACAAAGTAAAAAGCCGAACGGTACACATAGCATCAGACAGCCACATAGCGCTCGACTGGATCAGTTCACAAAAAACACTTCATCGCTCAGTTGAACACTACAAATCGGACATCATTCAAAAAACGGAGGACTTGGAGAAGGAAGGAGCGAAGATCAAACTGTTTCATGTAACAACGGAACACAATCCGGCGGACATTGGCACCAGAGGAATGGACAAAGAAGACTGCGAGTCCTCATCGTGGATAAGAGGACCTCAATGGGTGGGTGGAGCAACAAACCCGCTCACACCATTCGAGATCAGAAAAGCAGCGCCAACGGATACTACACAATCAGAAAACATCATTTTACTACAACAGGCGGAAGATTTCGATGATCAAGTCACCGAAGCATGCCTAAAAACGGAAAACCACAGAAGAAACCTTTCAACAGCCGCATATGTTGGAAAATTCCTCAAAGCAATGACGGAAAAAATAGGAAAAACGCCTAACTATCTCAAGGACTTCACAACATCGGAAAAACATACGGACAAGGATTACGACACAGCCAAGACTTTACTAATCCATCTGGCTCAACAGATGGATCAGCTGGAAACTATCAAGGAGAAATACAAAACATGGAACTTCATCAAGGACAACAAGGGAATAATCAGAATTGAGACAAGACTTCAAAACTCTGATCTCCCATACGACACAAAGAACCCAATATGGTTACCAAGAAAATCACAGCTAGCCAGCTACGTGATCACACAGACTCACAAGAAATGCGGACACCAAGGAAGGGACCTAGTGCACACACTAATAAGACAAAGGTACTATCTTCCAAAACCAATGGCAACGATAAGGAAAACGTTAAAATCATGCACAGTATGTGCTAGGTTTAACGCTCTACCAATCGGATCTCCACAAATGGCTAATCTCCCAAAAGACAGAGTCACGTTAACAAGACCATTCGCAGCAACTGGATGCGATCTTATGGGACCATTTACTCTACAAGGAGAAATTAAAACACACGTATGCCTCTTCACATGTATGGCGACAAGAGCTATACATCTGGAAGTAGTACCAAACGCCTCAACAGAATCATTCATCAACGCACTCCAAAGATTCACAGCACGAAGAGGAGTACCAAAAATAATAAGGAGCGACAACGGAACCAACTTTGTGTTAGGAAATAAAATACTAACACAAATCATCGAAGAACGGAGAGACCGCAACAACCCGTACCAGGAATTTATACACTTATACCAACTGGAAGGCATAAAATGGATCTTCAACACCCCACTAGCTCCATGGAAAGGAGGAGCATGGGAAAGACTGATAGGATTGGTGAAATCATCATTCAATAAAGCGATAGGAAGGTACAAACCATCGCTGGACGAAATGAACACCATAATGACGAAAATCGAAGCCATTGTTAACAACCGACCAATGACAGCCTCGATTTCGGATGATCCGGATGTAACACCGATACGACCAATAGACTTCCTGAGCACTGCTATAAGCTTCTCCATACCGGACCAAACGGAGAAAGAAGAACTTGACGAACCAGGACAGGAACCGGAATACATCACATCAGCACGACAAGCTATGGAAGCCATTCAATTCATAGCCAACATAACAAGCCGATTTTGGCACCGATGGAGATCAGAATATTTGACTGCCATCAAGGATATCAACAAAAGGACTAAGACGCAAGGAAGACACAGCGGAGCATGCATCAACCCAGGAGATGTAGTCATCATAAAAACTGAGAAAGCCCAACGAGGATCATGGCATCTCGGTCGCGTACTCAGACTAGAAGATTCGGAAGACGGCCTCACCAGAACAGCCGTAATTTTCTCTAAAGGAAGAGAAATTAAACGATCACTGGAACTCATATACCCACTGGAAATAGCGGAAAGAACACCATCAGCTACGGAACCAAGAAAGGAACAAGGACAGCAACCACCAGAGGGCAAGCAGTTGGACATAAAGCTGGAAACACTGGAGGACTCAGAATCAGAAGAATCGATACCTCCCAAGGACTCATCACACGAATCATCGGAACATTCTGATCTGGAAATAGACACTGGAACAAGTGAGCAACAAACCACAACCGACCAGCCAAATCAGAAGAAAACAACACCGGAGAGCGAGAAAACAAAAGAAAAATCAGCTACAATATGGACGCAAAGACCAATGGATAATCGACAAGAAAGGAAAATGGATAAGACGAACGAACAACTATGGATCAAGCAACTCCCAAACATCATGGAGACGGCAAAGAAGAAACTGGAGGAAAGAAAAAACCTGACATGCGCCCCACCAAGGAGAGAAAGTGCATTCAAAAACTTCCTCATACTAGCATGCGCAATAAGCATAATTCCAACTACAAGGTCAGCACCATACGTATACTGTAATGGAACCCACCTCACGCTGAACGCGGAGAAACAACAAGGAATACTATGCATCGACACCGATTGTCAAAAAATCGGAGCTGAGACCGAATCGCCTAAAGTTATGGAGATAGAAGCCAAGTCACACAACAACATGATAACCGTAAAACTCATTACGGAGGAAGGAACCGAAATCACTCGATGCGGTGGAAACAACATCTGCCATAAAACAAAATTCATGACAAGGAACCTACTCGGAAACCCACACTGCTGGCCATTGGGAGCTCAACTGTCAGCCTTTATCTACATCACTTTATTCTTCTCAATACTACTGCCATTGATTCGCTACATGGCAACAAGTACCAAGAATTCAAGGATAGCCAAATCAGCCAACAAAAAATGGAAACAAACGAAGGAAATGGCTAAGAACCTCAAGCAACTGACAAACGCACAACAACTGGCGAAACTGGAACAAAAGGAATGGAATTCACAAAAACCACTGAACAAGGAATGGAAATTTGAGAACTCAACCATATGGAACACGCAAATCGAGGAAACTACAAATCCAGAACCAATCTACGATACAGTGGAGCCAATAAACTCAAGGAACGACGAGGGAAAGTTAATAAGAAATCTGAAACGCAAATCAGATTCCCCTCGAAACGCAACCCGATCCAAAATACCAAAACAGACAGCATATATGTCAACCTTGGTCATCATGGGAGTATGGAGCTTAGGGCATGGATGCCAGGACACTCATACTAGATACATAACAGAATTAAAGTGTGATAACCGAACACATTGCTTCTACCAATTTGGAAGAGAAGTCATGTTTAACACACTTACTTCAAAAATCTGCGTACAAATGATGCACAACAACGCAGCAATCGGATCAATAGAAATAGAGAAGATGAACTCTACACTCAAATGCGTCAAGGAACATCTACACTACTCAAGGATAACCGAACCTATCGTGGAAACATACAATAGATGCCCATATGCTGGATCATGTCAAGGAGATAACTGTGAGGAACTGACAAAACACGCATATCTGGAGGAATTCAACCATACGTATCAATACCATGGAGAAGCCGCGTGCACAAAAGCATGCGTAGGATTATTCTGTGGATGTGGAATATTCTTCAAATCAGGATGCAGCTTCTACAGACTATACCACAAGCCAGTAACGGAAGAAATTTTCGAAATATTCCGATGCGCAGAATTCTACAACGAAGTGATCTTCAAAATCAACATTATCATCAAGAAGCAGCTGACAACACAATACATCAAGATGAAGCCGTACCAAAAAGTAAGGACACCTTTTCTTAACGCAACGGTCGTATCCATCACAAACCAATACTCACCGATTACAAGCAATCGATTTGCTAGAACAGAAAATCGCACAATAATGCTAGATAATCACGACGAGTTTATGATGAAATGCCAAACCAAAAGCGAAGCAAGAGACAATCAAACAGCATGCTTACTACCCGACAAGTGCCATTGTCGGAACCACCTGGAGAAGGCCTATTGTGAGTGCCCCACAAATGCCATAAGGAAACACGAAAAGCAAATGCTACCCTTTGCAACAAGTAGCATTGAGCTAAAGGACTATGGAAAAACTATCGTCGCTGTTCAAAAAACAGATGAAATACTGTTTTTTATGGAATCAAATCTACTAATGGAAAGCGCAGCGATGAACTTGGACTACCCATGCGTGCCAGCCTTCACAAACATAACAGGATGTTATGACTGCCCTGAAGGAGCAAAAATATCAATCAACTGCATGGCAACAGTAGACTCATGGATCACCATACAATGTGATGAACACATACGCTCAATTGAATGCGCACCATCAAACCCAAGTACGATGATCACCATGTATTTCAACGAAGCTACTGTAAGCCAACAATGCTTCACCAAATGCGCCAACCAGCGGAAGGAATTTACAATATCTGGAGTACTACAGTACCACGAATTGGAAGACGACATGAGCACAGCTGCTCAGCAGGAAATCGACTGGACCAGATTACCTGACCTCAATCCACTAGGATCTGTCATAATCAACAGATGGAAAACATCAACGCTGCTTACGGGTGCGTCTGTTGTTACAACGCTTGTGAGTTACGCTTTCGGCGCGCAGGCATTGACGATTACGTCAAAACCAATCTTATGGATTACCAGCCAGACCGCAACATTAATCTGGAGGATGTTGGCGGTACTAATCAAAGCCATAATTTAAAACAAACATTCATTACATGAATGAACAGACTATCATAGAACCCAACCCTCTTAGGTAAACAAACATTACTATATAAGAACCACAACCTTTGAATATATTACCCAAAAAACCATCACCTCATATTCCTACTGAGCCAACTTATTCATACTACTACAACGATGTCCGTCTGCAACAAAGAAGACTTCTTCAAACATGCCGAACAAATGGAGGAGGAAAACCGAGAAACGCCAATTCTACTCAGATTTTGGGACCAGGATATGGATTCAATGGTGCCACAACCGGACTCACCAATCAGCCCGCCATCCAGCGACCAGGAGGATGAGGTATCCTATGAAATTAACAAGATACGCCGTAAACTCAAGAAACTAAAAAGAAGATGAATAAGAAGAAAAGTTGCATCTTTTGCCCTGCCGCCAAGGACCATATTGAAAGGAACTGCAAACTATATGACGAAAGGATCTGTCAGACTAGGAGATTACTCGTATTAGGATATTGCATAACCTGCATGAAATCAGCGCACGGGACCTGCAACAAATCATGTAGTATTTGTGGAAAACAACATCATGCCTGGATCTGCCCAAGACGTTCATTTGGAGGAAAATTCAAGCAAAGGATGACGAAGATAACCACCAAAAGAGGACCAAGACGCTGCCCCGCAGGATGCCTCGGCAGAATTGGGATTTCTACAGAAGAAGCTGCAGAACAATGTCTAAGGATGATACAAGAAAATCAACTGTGAGTAACCTAAAATATTATAGCATAACTTTGTGTTTATT